GCAGTAACAGAGGCAGAAGGACGATGGCTCTGGTTTGGCAGAACAGGAAAGCAGGGCCCACCCATGAGGGGCCTGTCAGAGTCCTCCTGACACCAATGTGACATTCGTTTCTTTCTAAATGGGAAGCAAGAGCGATAAACCACAAGTCATGCTGGATAAATTGAGCAGATGATTGGGGCTTCACAGATCCAAGGCTGCCAGCTCCCCCAAAATGGAAATCACGGCCCCACTCACAACACAAGGCCTGATGTCCTGATTACAAGGGTGGGAAGCTTCCTAGAGCGGTATAGATTATTTAGCAGCAGAAGCATAAATAGATGAGTAAATGCTAAATTAAGAGGAAGAAAAATAATGGTTTTCTGTGAACTCATAAATGCTCATTTTCCTGGGTCACAGAACTTTTCAAGTCCAGTTAAAAATATGACCTCAAAATACCAAGGGGTTCACCATCTGCTAACTGTACAGAGTACGAGAGCTTGGCAGGAGCAAGGACAGAGAGGGAACACTGAACACCAGGAACACAGGCTGTGGCCTCCCCTGTCTAAGGACACACAGAGCACAGGCCAGTCATGGCAGTCCCCAAACAGTCTGTCTAGTGCTTGGGCGCAGAGGGGAGGCGAGACGCCACCACCACAGACGTCGTGTGTGCAGTGGGTATGCTGGAGCCTGGAGGGTGGCAGTCCTGAGCATTCCTTTGGAGACTGCTCTGGAGAGAGCCATCATCAAGGGCTGAGGGCCCCGGTCCCCTAGAGCACTGCGCCTGCATAGACCCATGGGTCCTTCTGAAACAGGTGCCACAGGTAACCCATGGTCGTGCACCTTGTGCCAGGAGACCACCTAGAGTCTCAACACCTTTGAAAGCAAGTGCAGTGCTGGAGCCCATGCTGCTAAGAGCTTAGGATGGTGACAGGGCAGAAATCCACATGAGCAACACGGGGCTGGGCTGCAGGTGGGCCTGAGGAGCGCGCCGGGCACCCAGCCTGGACCTCTCTCTGTTTACAGGGAGGAGGAGTTTCTTCTCTTCATGCCTACAGACACAGGGAGGGCAAGGCGGGTGTAGAGACACCAAAGGACTGGCACAGGAGTCCCAGGAAGAACTTTGCTAGAAATTGCGGGGAGTGTTGCCTTAAAGTCCGTACAATATGTGGGAATGACAAAGTATTTTTGAAAAGATTAACACCCAGGCTAACAGTCCAAGTACTCCTGGACGCCCCACCAAGGCAGGGGTTCAAAGCCACCTGGCAAGGACAGGCGTGCGTGTCTGGGGCCCGCTCCTGTGCCAAGTGGTCAAGCTGCCACTTGGTGGGGACTAGAGAGAAGGGTAGTCCTGCTGGGGTTCACTGGGGCCACCCGCCCTGGTGTTTTCCTCAAAGACTTGGCTTTCACTCTGCAAATACTGAAAACACAAGGTGTCTACCTCCATTCTTCTGGTCTGTGCGCCCTGAGGCAATGAGCCTAACCACGGAAGGGAGCAACACCAGCACTTACATGACAGCCATGCGGTGCATGACAGCACAAGCATGAAAGAGCCGTTCAAGAAAAGGGAAGGAAAATACACAAAGGTGCCAGATCAGGAATGAGTCAAGCGCAGCACCCAGGGCCTGCGTCAGACCGTGGCCCCCGAGGGGGCCCCACAAATGCCCGCCCGGAGAACAGGACGGCTCTGTGGTGACAGCCCCGGCCTCTCTGCTCAGGTCTCCCTGGTTTCTTGATTCCCCAAAACAGAAAATCCTACCGAGACTGACTTTACTGCAGGTTGGCTGTCTCTAGCTGAAGTGCTTGGGACCAAAAGTGTTTCAGATTCGTTTTGTTGCTGTTGTTGATTTTATTTACAAACACGTGAGCTATTTGGGAGATGGGACCGAATTTCGAACACAATTTATTCCTCATAGACCGTCACACGGGGTGACAACTGAGGTGCAGTGCCCCTCGGTTTCAATGGCAACCCATCCCATGAGGCCACGGGTGAAACTTTCCAGGTATGGCATTGGTGGCCAATAGCTAACACGTCACAGGTGAGGGATGCTCAGCCCATGAACTATGTATCTTGGCCAGAATATAAGGAAAAGGGGGAAATTATAACAGTATTTCAGAGTCTTAGTACACTGCGTCCGCTGGAATTGTATTAGCATGCTAGGCCACGTTCTGCTCCTCAAGTCTTATTAAAGAGACACTCCAACCAGCTAAGTTTCTTTTTATCTACAGCTAGAAAATGATTAACTCCTTGAAGCTATCTTAACTTCGCTCTTTATACATAAAACAATAATTTGATAACATCCACATTTGCTAAAATTGCTTTAAAAATATGCAAACACATGCCCATTGGCCATTTAATCCTTATTTACCCTCAGGACATTCAAGTCATTGGCATAATAACTTTAAAGGCAAGTCAGATCTTAGAAATGCTTTCTGAGGTTTTAAAAAATGATAATGAATATTTTGTGAAATACCACAATCAGGAAGAAAACACAGAGAGAATATTTCACTGTTGAGTTCCTGCGAAAGGTTTCTGACTTATTTAGTATCTCAGAAATTCTGTTGGTTTTGATTCTTCCAGAAAATAAAATAGCCTGAGGAAACTGCCAAAGGCTTTAATATGGTTTGGACTGTGAGTTGTGGGTATGTTGATAGCTACATTCAAAGAAGAAACTACCCAGAAACGATGACTCACGAGTATTGCGTCGGGTACGGAAAGGACGCAGGTGTGCCTGGCCTGCCATTTGCTGGCAGTTTTTAGGGGAGAGCATTGAGCCACCCCCTCAGTGCTGGATGGTTCAGGCCGAACTTGAAAGCACTGGGGAAGACATCATGACTGAATGTGATAGCAAGCACGACTGACTTAGAAACACAGTGAGCTTCGGTTTTGCTCATGAAATTATTAGGCACTACAAGGGAGAGGAAGAAAAGTAAGACAGGCTTCATCTATGTGCTAAAATTAAAAAAAAGAAAAGATGGATGGACCAAGAGTTCCAAAGAAGAGAGGAGCAGGTGTCCAAGACGGCTCTAGAGAAAAGGTAAGAACCAGAGTGCACCCTGGAGCAGGGGAGATACAGAAAGGTGGCGAGGAGGGCCACACGGCAGGCAGGAGGACCCTCGTGAGTAAGGGCATGGGGGGCAGGGCATGGAGTGATGGGTCAGTGAATGGGTCCCTTAGGATAAACATTCTGCTCTCAGGAGGCAAATATCACGGAGACTGCGCTGGGCACCCTGCCCCACGCAGGGTCACCATCTCTTTCTTCATGGACCTAAGCAGAGTACAAGTCAAAACACTGACGAAACAAAAGCCATAGCCAAGAAGTCTGATCCATGGGGCAACCATTCCTGCAACTGAGATCCTGCAGAGTCATCTGTCCCCTTTCTGAAACAGCCAAGTTGCTGGACTTGGGAGCCAAGAGCTGGGAGGGGTAGAGGAGACAAAGCAACCCCAAGCCAAAGGGCTTTGCCTCCTGGCACTGAGCAGCACCTGTGGGTTCCCACTGGCGTGCAAGGTATTGAGGCGCTAACAGCGCAGGGAGGAGGGCCCTCCATAACATCAACTTACCTTAACTTTACGGCCAGGAAAATCTTACCTTAATTGGCTTGAATCATAATTGAAATGGGTGATTTCAGACCATGGGCCAACAAGCCCCAAGAGCGAGAAGTCTAAGCATACCTGAAGGTCTGCCTGTTTGCCTTGCTAGTAAACATTCTGCAGTGCATGGAGAGCCGTTAAGTGACCATTCTCCCTTTGTGTGGGCAGGGGCGGAATGACGACACCCTTCCCACGTGGGAAATGCTGCTCTCACCAGCATGTCTGCCACCAGAGGCTTTCACAGGAGTGTTAAGGTGTGTCCTTTGTGGATTAAGATGACAGAGATAGTGCTGCTATTTAATTATGTGGCCACAATAGCACACCCACGCCAACTCCAGCAGGAAAAGCATGCACGTTAAATTACTTGTGAGGCTCCCCAAAGACTAAGGCTTGCAGGTTTGGCATTGCATGACAATTAAGTAGTAATGAAAGAGAACTTGTGTCGTTTGCGCAAATAACGCATTAATCCTACTTTATACTATGTGTCGTTGTTCACTCTCCGAGAATGTTGACTTTCTGAGGTAATTTTTATTTCTCATCCCACAGGATGGGACGCAGGTAGAGAAGAAAGGACATATGGGCATGCTTGTAGTGTGACAGTGGATGCCTGAGAAGCCCCAGATAAGAATTAGCATTCATCACTATGGCATGGAGAAAATCCCAGGTGGATTGAATGAAAGGGTGTAGTCACTTCTTAAGGGTCAGCATATGCAAAGCATTTTCTGCAAAAAAAAAAAGCAAATCTGCATTCTCAATGAACCTCAAATTCTTGGAGCCCACAGCGGTGAGCAGGGGTGGGGTGCAGTCCTTCAGTACTTAGGACCAGGGTTCACTAAGCAAGCAGCAGTCCATCCAGACCCTCCAGAGAGGTACGTGAGAGCACGTTTTCTAACTACTTTAGAAGCATTTATATATACCTAGCATGCCATTAATCATTCTTATCTGTTCATTAAAGCAGTCTCCCTTAGGGCCCTGAGTTGCCAGCTCTCTTCTCAGCCTGGTTCTTTTTATCTGGATACCTGAAAAGTCATCCACCTCCTTTAAAACATATTTTATAATTAAAATATTTCATTACTTAGCATGGATGTGTTCCACCCAGTTCGGCTGCATTTTCTTTGTCTTATTAAATATACAGTGCAGCCATTCTTTTGAGGGTCTTTGTGAAAGACTAAGTGTGCCATTAGAGTGTGGTTTGGGAATGCATTTTCAGCGTCCGAGAGATTCTGGAGCCATTATTCGCATCATGACATAGACCTCCTGTCCATACCAATATGTGCTGCCTCCTTTTGTCCCCCTCCACAAAAGAAGTGCAATTTTAATTCACACGGTGGTCTAATGGATCTGAACTAAAAGTGGAAGGGAAATCAGATACTGTGCCATCGAAAAGCAATCAGTTTGAAAGGTCACGTCAGCAGTTATTTGACCATACCTCCGCCTGCGACTCCCCCCCACTGACGTCCAGGCCTCTGCTGGTTCCAGGATCTGTCCATCCCAGCGCAGCAGGCAGGGAGACCCCGAGCAGTGTGAGATGCAGCCAGAAGCCTCCTGGTTTCATTTTGGTGAGTCTGTTGAGAAAATGACAAACGCTCAGCACTCAGCATTGCAAAGTGCATAGCACATCCCAACGAGCATATACGCGTGTTCAGAATCAGTAAACCTGAGTTTAGAATCCAGCACCAACCCCAGCGTCATCCTCTGGAGAAGTTACATGACTTTGGAGCCTTAGTTGACTTGTCCACAAAAGGAGAGCAATACGAGCTACCTCCCAGGTTGCCGTCAGCACTGAAGGAGATGGTGTCTGGTGTAAAGCAAGAACCCTATAAATGTGGAGTTACATACAGTCCCAGGCGAAATGCCACCTGCCACCGCACCTACAAGAACCTGCCAGGGGAGGCCAGCTGGGGCACCTCTGGAGCTACGTCCAGGCTTGAGTCCCTGGGATAACGTTCAGGGCTGCGCACACTGTTAGTGGTCCAGAAATGCAGAGGGATTCTGTTAAATCTGTGATAACTGCTTTGTGGCTTATATTCCAGTTTCAAGACAGTGAGCTTAAAAATGGCATCATAAAGTCTTTTTTATTTTCAGTGATTGCTGAAGCAGAACCCAAGTAGCCAAAGTCAACAGAATTCCAATAACTTTAAGGTATTTTCTTGGACTCACTTAATTTAAATAATTGTCTAAGTTCCCAGAAAAAAAAAAAAGAAATGGGCAACTCAAAGTAATCAAAGAATTATATGGATGAAAAACTAATGTTGACTACAACGAACGTTTAAATGTCTACCACGAGGACAGAGACTATTCTGCTTTTGCTAGAGATCAAACCCAGGGCCTTGTTCATGCTAGGCAAGCGCTCGACCACAAAGCTACATCCCAGCCCTAGGTGTACGTTTTAAATCAAAGATCTCCACTGTGGGCATATTCCAGCCCTACTGCATCTCTGTGCTCATCTCTGTGAGCCTCACAGAGCTCATCACGCAGCACCAACGACTCTCCCTCCGGGATCCTTTAGGGGCTGCCCACATCTGCACGCACCACACAACTGAGTGCTTCAGTACATGCGGTCCGCACCGCTTCCCGATCCTGGCTGGGGGTGTGAAACCACACAGAGCTCCTCGGAGGCCAGCAACCAGGGCCACCTGGCCCAGAACAGGTGTCCAAGTCAGAAACAGGTGGGTAGTGGACGGTCTTTGCAGCTTCAGGGGTGCACCCCAGCTCAAGTCCGTAATCGGCAACATTTGGGAGCCCCCCACGCTAGCCAGACTGTAATCAGCCACTCCTGCCACAGCCCAGGCTTCCCCGGGCTGCCTGCCACACCCACACAGAGCTGCCTCTTCACGTTTGCTTTGGGCTCCAGCTTGAGACACAAATGCCCACAGGGAGAAGTCAGACCAAAAGGTGTGGGTGTACAGCAGGGGCTATAGAAACGGCAGGGTCATAAGGAAAGGTCATCTTTTAAGAGAAGCTGTCTCTTTGTTTGAAAAAGAGTCCGGAGGCCCCGATCCTACATCTGTTTCTTCAGCTTTGGCATCTGCCAGCAAAGTGGAGCTAAGGGGTCGGGTGGGGTGCGGTGGGGTGGGGTTGGGGGGGCCGTCCAGGTGGGCAGGAGAGATAATCCGAAGGTTACAGCCTCAGCTCTCGCTCTGCACCTCAAAGATGGCAGAGTGGAGAAGAACAGTGGAGCCTCAGCTGCCAGCAGGTGAGGCCTGCAGTACTGACAGCAGCCACCCTACTCTGCACCCCAGATCCAGGGCTCTCGCTAGGGTGGGTGAGTTCTTACAGGGATGAGGAGGAGTACGGTTAAAAAAAAATCACATTCAGGACTGAACAAGAATAAAACCATCATCTTTCCCAGATTGCAACTGTTTTTTTCTAAAAATAAGTAGGGCAACTCCCTCTTCCCCATAAATTATCCTCTTCTGAACACAGAGCCACTTTCCAGAGACTGCAGAAAGCGGCTAATGGGTTTTTGGAATTTTAAGAGCCAGCCATAGTAATTCGAGACTGAACTAGAAAGACATAGCTTCCTATTGCAATATGGATTTTTCCCTACTTATCTAGAACCAAATATGGCTTGTGGAATAAGCACACATATTAAAGGTCTGTGTTCTTCCTTTTTCATGCCTCCTGGCCCAAATAAACCAAAAACAGTGAGATAATCAAAATTCATTCTTGTTAATGTACAGACATCAATTTTTAGAGTTATGAAAAACACAAGTCCCCAAATCTAGCATTTCATTTTCAATCTGACGAGTACTCTAAGACCAATTCTATCTTCTGTTTTATTATTCACAGATGGCACCAAAATAAGATCCCTTCATTTCAAATGTGATTTTGGCAAGCACCGACTCACTCCATTTAAGAGGTATCTCCAGAGTGCTGGCATTAATGGCGTGTATGAGCTCCAGCCCTGCTGCTCCTGGGGTTGCCATTGGTTTTACATCACTTTTATTCCTTATTTGAGCCAGGCTGCTGGTGCACACCTGCAACGCCAACACTGTGGGAGACCAAGCCTGGAGGATCACAAACTCTAGCCCAGCAAGGGCAACTTGGTGACTCAGTGAGACCCTGTCGCACTTAAAAAAAATAAAAATTTTAAAAGGACTGACAAGGCAGCTCAGTGTGAAGGTACTGGGTTAGACCCTCAGCACACAGCTCCCCAAAAGAATTCTTTGAAGACAGGGAAATATGTGAACCAGGCCACCTCATGAAATAATCCTGAACAGGTTCTTTGTAAAACTGAGTGCTGTTTGGCCACCACTATAGGTCTGATTTCATTTACAGTGTCTTACATGTCACTTTATACTCATGATGACTGACAATTCATTACATCTACAGCAGCAACAGCCTAAAAATTTACAACTCAAGCTTTATGACAGTCCAGTTCATAAAAAAGAATTAATATTGGATCTAAATCAATTTCGATGATCTGTCTAATAACTAAATAGACACTGTCTATTTGGCCAACACAAAGCAATTACTAAGTGTCAGACTTTCTGAAGGCTTTGCTAACTCATAATCCTCATTTTCCCACTCTATGAGGAAGGCCATGAGTATCCCCTCATCAGGTGGCAAAGGGAACAGGGTGACAGAGAGGTTTTGGATCCCACCAAGGCCACGAGGCACACAAGTAACAGAGGTGAGACTCCAAGCCTGGTGGGGGAACCATCATCTATGCCCTTAACCCTTATCTCATCCTCTTGAGCCTTAGCAGTGCTTTATCTTGGTAAATAGCTGTCTTTCAGGCAATGGGGAAATAGGCATAGAGAAAAGCCAGAACCCCGGGTCTCCCCTTCCTCTGAAAGCTGCTGAGAGCCCAACTCCCACAGCTGTAAGGGCTCCAAGGGAATGAGAAAGAGGAGCTAAACTGTCACTGTCCTGCACCCCACCCCAGGAGACTCCTCAGCACATTCTCCTCTGCCACCCTCTTTGCTTCTCTATTTATGGGTCAAGAAAAAAAAACAAAAAAAACATATGGTTAAAAAAGTCAGGAAAGACTGCACAGAACTCCAGGCAGCGAAAGTGTCCCTGGGCTCATGGGGAGCACACATCACTTCGGGGAAGTGGATCTGCTACCAAGCTAATTACTCCTCAAATTCAAATCGCCCTACTGGCCCCCAGAGGAGGAAACAGACGAAGCCCTTCATAAAAGAACCAGGAGTGCATTGTCCTGCATTCACCAACTCTTCCAACCTGGGGCTCCTTTTGAGATTAAGTTAGATTTAGAAGATTTATTCAGCCCTACCTGAAGTCTTTAGCATTGACTACTAACATACTCGGGATTCCCCACAGAGTTGGGACTACCTTTCTTCCAAACAACTTGGGAAGTACAATTATTTAATAGTTAAGACACCCTCTAAAGCCAGGTGCTTCGCCACTTCCTCTGTGGCTTCCCACACGAGCCCCACGACTCCCCCACAGCCAGGAGAAGCAGGTGTTAGTCTGGCTGCTGCATGCAGAGGACACCAGAGGCTGTAAACCTAAGATGTGAAGCTAAGTCAGTGGCCAGACCTGGACTAAAGCTCCAGCCGCTGGTACCTGGGCAGATAGAGCATAGGTTTGTCATCTCTGTTTAGACAGTTTGCTCTTTTCAGTGCTGAAGAAGCCCTCACCAGGTTGCCTACCCTCTCCTTGTGAAAACCAGAAGTTTCTGGTGTTATAAAATAAGCTGATATTGGTGTTGTTCTTTTTCATATTCAAAATTACATAGCCAGTACAAATAAGTATAATATAACACTGCAAATACCAACTTGTTTTTTTGAAGAGAGTTAGAAAAGCGTGACACAGAAATGCAAACGTTAGGGAGATACAGGTATTAAAATGAAAATTCCCAAATCTGCCACACCCACAGAACATATACCAGTGGTCAGAGGCCAGGAGAAGTAGGACGTAGTTAGGGCCTCTCTTTTCTATGCCAGAAGCAGCTCTGTTGGGAGGAGTGGGATTCTGGCTCTCAGAGCTTTGAGGGCCTTGTTTACCAATTCTCTCTCTCGGCTTATTTGCCAGAACACACAGACAACACCAGACCAGTCGTCTGCATCAGCCACAGAGAAGTGGCTTTCTCTGGAGTCAAAAGGACTAGAAGTCACAGATGGAGTGGGAGAACCGAGGGACACCATCTGGCATCTTCAGAGAACAGTCCGATTTGTGATCTGGTGATCCCAAGGTCTCGAATGCCTAACCCTCCTCACCGAAAAACTTTCTGTTCTCGCAAACCCCTCTAAGTGGGCTGCATTGCACACAACACGGCAGGCTGGTGATCAGAGGTCACAGGGAAGCATCCAAACACAGCGCCCCTCTTCCGCACGTCCACCCAGGGTTAAGGGCACAGGAGAGCAGGGCGTGCCATATCGAGGACCCCAGACCAGGAACCTAGAGGGCCATTTCTTCTGAAACAATTAGGACCCTGATTCTAATTTATGGGTGTTTTAGGAAAAAAGAAAATGGTTCAGATTTCCTCAGAGAGTCCCTAAAATGCCAACCTGGGGGAAACAGTCATGAAAATATATGAGGTCAATCTTGCAGCAAGCTACAATGAAGTTCAACTGCATTTGCTATGAATGATCTACTCTGCCTTTTCTTTCTTTCTTTTTTTTTTGGTACCAGGGATTGAACTCGGGTCTTTGTGCTTGCAAGGCAGGCCACCGAACCACTGAGCTAAATCCCCGGCCCTACTCTGCCTTTTCCAACATTGATACAGCAGTGGCGTACATCTTTCTATATATAATATGGATGCTCCTATTTACCACAAAGTTTAACACACCACACCTGTGCTTCCAGTACCCCTTACTTATCCTTCCAACCTGCAGAATATAATGCTTTTGTACCACATTTCTTTGAGGTAATTTTATTTCATTTGACATTCTATGCCTCGTGTCATACATTAAGAGGCAGAACATGTAAGGAAAGATATGCTCCTGGAATTTCATGAAGTTAGCAAGTCCATGATTGACCACACAGAAGCAAAGTATCCCAGGACAGACAAGGTAGGAACTAGGTAGATTTTCTGAAGTCCTGGCTATCGGATGCCAGGCCCTGGACTGTGCTAAATCAAACAAAAGACCACAGCACGCAGTCACTTGTTAGAGTCTTGCAGTCCTCAGGAGGAGGAGAACACCAGGGAGGGTCAGTGTAGGAGACCAGCCTCCCACTGGCGTGGCCAGAGGGTTACACTCTCTCAAGGCCCAGCAGAACAAACCAGCCCTGCGGGGGATGGGGTGAGCTTCCTGGAATTAACAAAAATTGAGGGTGACAAAAAAATTCTCAGAGGGAACAAAGCCAGTGGGACAAGTCTTAGTACATGACAGCATGTGGATTGTTTTCTTGCGTGACCGCTGGCTCAGTCTGAAGTCTTGGGAGCGAATGGCATGTGCCTGGCCCTGCATGGGAGGAAGAAGGATAACACTACGCTGGGGACACTGCAGCGCCCCTCTCAGGACCAGGGTGAGAAGCAGAGCAGCCCCTGGGGAGTTGGGTTTGAGCTGCTGCCCCTCCCTGGTGAATCCTGCCTAGCTCACTGCCCAGGTCAGGCAAGCACATAAACTGTCCCATCCTGGGGTTAGGAAGACTGTTAAAAACCATCTCTGGCCTCCCTAAAGGCTGGTTCGGTTGGAAGAGAACTTGGGACCTTCTAGAGAAGTCCTAATTTTTTCTGGATCTCTCTCTCTCTCTCTCTCTCTCTCTCTCTCTCTCTCTCTCTCTCACACACACACACACACACACACACACACACACACACACACACAGAGTATGGGGAGAATTTCGGTGTACATTTTGGCTAGCAGTTACCTTGCTGCCTCCGACTGAAATTCTGTTTATGTTTGGCCTGGAGAACGTGGACGGCCGCTGGTCTCTCAGGGCTCCGCCAAGTACAATTCCTGGTGCATCAGATTTACTAAGGAAGGGGAAGAAAGCTACTGGCGCTGCTCTTCACTCTTCCGAAACCTCGGCGGAAGCGACACCTAGAGGGGAGCGAAGAAGAGGCTGCAGAAGCGCCATTCCTCGGTGCCGGGGACAGTTAGCGAGGGGAAGTCGCTTCGGGACCGACTCCGGGCCCGAGGGGGCCCGAGGGGGCCCGAGGCACC